TGTGAGTGTAGATTATGAGAGTGCTATTAAAAATGGCCATAACTCAAAAAATGTTTGTCGGGATCAGCTCAAACTTTCTACATAGCATAAGGACATCAATATGTATCAGAAAATGTAATAAAAATTTAGGGTGATTTTGAACCCATTTTTTGGACAAAAACAATGGGCTATAGTACAGGGTATTTTCGAAATTTTTATTTTTGAAATTTTTTTGATTTTTCTGATTTTTTTTCGAGAGCATGGAAATATTTTTAGATTATTTTATTTTTATTTTTGGAATTTTTTCTGATTTTTTTCCGAGAGCTTGGGGAATATTTTTGGATTATTTTTATTTTATTCTTGGAATTTTTTTCCGAGAGTGTGGGAATATTTTTAGATTTTTTTTGGAATTTTCTCTGATTTTTTTTCCAAAAGCATGGAAATATTTTCAGATTATTTTATTTTTATTTTTGGAATTTTTTCTAATTTTTTCCCGACAGCATGAGAATATTTTTGGATTATTTTATTTTTATTTTTGGAATTTTTTATAATTTTTTCTCGACAGCATGGGAATATTTTTGGATTATTTTATTTTTATTTTTGGAATTTTTTCTGATTTTTTTTGAGAGTGTGGGAATATTTTCAGATTATTTTATTTTTAATAACAGTAAATTATCAGTAATCTATTAATAAACTATCAGTAATCTATTAATAAACTATCAGTAATCTATTAGTAAATTATCAGTAATCTATTAATAAACTATCAGTAATTAATTAGTAAACTATCAGTAATCTATTATTGAAATATTAGTAATCTATTAGTAAACTATTGGTATTGTATTAGTAAACTATTGATAATCTATTTTTCAAATATTAGTAATTTATGAGTAAATTATCAGTAATCTATTAATAAATTATTAGTAAATTATCAGTAATCTATTTATAAAATATTAGTAATTTACTAGTAAATTATTAGTAATCTATTAATAAATTATTAGTAATTTATTAGTAAATTATCAGTAATCTATTTATGAAATATTAGTAAATTATTAGTAATCTATTAATAAATTATTAGTAATTTATTAGTAAATTATTAGTAATCTATTAATAAATTATTAGTAATTTATTAGTAAATTATCAGTAATCTATTTATGAAATATTAGTAATTTATTAGTAAATTATCAGTAATCTATTTATAAAATATTAGTAAATTATTAGTAATCTATTAATAAATTATTAGTATTTTATTAGTAAATTATCAGTAATCTATTTATGAAATATTAGTAATTTATTAGTAAATTATTAGTAATTTATTAGTAAATTATCAGTAATTTATTAGTAAATTATTAGTAATTTATTAGTAAATTATCAGTAATCTATTTATGAAATATTAGTAAATTATTAGTAATCTATTAATAAATTATTAGTAATTTATTAGTAAATTATCAGTAATCTATTTATGAAATATTAGTAAATTATTAGTAATTTATTAGTAAATTATCAGTAATCTATTTATAAAATATTAGTAAATTATTAGTAATCTATTAATAAATTATTAGTAATTTATTAGTAAATTATCAGTAATCTATTTATGAAATATTAGTAAATTATTAGTAATCTATTAATAACTTATTAGTAATTTATTAGTAAATTATCAGTAATTTATTAGTAAATTATTAGTAATCTATTTATGAAACATTATTAATTTATTAGTAAATTATTAGTAATCTATTAATAAATTATTAGTAATTTATTAGTAAATTATCAGTAATCTATTTATGAAACATTATTAATTTATTAGTAAATTATTAGTAATCTATTAATAAATTATTAGTAATTTATTAGTAAATTATCAGTAATCTATTTATGAAATATTAGTAATTTATTAGTAAACTATCAGTAATCTATTATTGAAATATTAGTAATTTATTAGTAAACTATCAGTAATCTCTTTTTGAAATATTAGTAATTTATTAGTAAATTATTAGTAATCTATTAATAAACTATCAGTAATTTATTAGTAAACTATCAGTAATCTATTATTGAAATATTAGTAATCTATTAGTAAACTATCAGTAATCTATTTTTAAAATATTAGTAATTTATTAGTAAATTATCAGTAATCTATTTTTGAAATATTAGTAATCTATTAGTAAACTATCAGTAATCTATTTTAAAAATATTAGTAATTTATTAGTAAATTATCAGTAATCTATTAATAAACTATCAGTAATCTATTAGTAAAAAATGGCCATAACTCAAAAAATATTTGTCGGAATCAGCTCAAATTTTCTACATAGCATAAGGACATCAATACGTATCAGAAAATGTAATAAAAATTTGGGGTGATTTCAGACCCATTTTTTGGAAAAAACCATGGGCTATAGTACAGGGTATTTTTCAGAAATGGGTCCATTTTAAAAAATGGCCATAACTCAAAAAATATTTGTCAGAATCAGCTCAAACTTTCTACATAGCATAAGGACATCAATACGTATCAGAAAATGTAATAAAAATTTGGGGTGGTTTCAGACCCATTTTTTGGAAAAAACCATGAGCTATAGTACAGGGTATTTTTCAGAAATTGGTCCGTTTTTAAAAATGGCCATAACTTTAAAAATATTTGTCAAAATCAGCTCAAACTTTCTACATAGCATAAGGACATCAATATGTATCAGAAAATGTAATAAAAATTTGGGGTGATTTCAGACCCATTTTTTGGAAAAAACCATGGGCTATAGTACAGGGTATTTTTCAGAAATTGGTCCATTTTAAAAAATGGCCATAACTCAAAAAATATTTGTCAGAATCAGCTCAAACTTTCTACATAGCATAAGGACATCAATACGTATCAGAAAATGTAATAAAAATTTGGGGTGATTTCAGACCCATTTTTTGGAAAAAACCATGGGCTATAGTACAGGGTATTTTTCAGAAATTGGTCCATTTTAAAAAATGGCCATAACTCAAAAAATATTTGTCAGAATCAGCTCAAACTTTCTACATAGCATAAGGATATCAATATGTATCAGAAAATGTATTTTAAAATTGGGGTGATTTTTGAGCTATTTTTTAGAAAAAACCTTTAAAATTGGTCCTTTTTATGCTCATGAAGTTTTGTTAGCCCCACCTGCTTGCAGTTATCAGCTCTGCCCCAGTAGCTAGCCAGTGAGTTATTACTACTCACTAAAACTATAACATGCAATGTTAACAGATGGAGCTCATGGCAATGCACCACTGAATTATCAATACCTCTGAATTAGTTTGGCAGCTATTGGCAAATCTTTTTTTCACATCTCTCTGTCCTTTTGCATTAATTTTTAATTGTTGATAATTGCAATAATAAAGACATTGCATACAAAATATTAGTTGGTTGCATATTTGTACAAAATATTAACGAGTTGTGTACAATACACATTTGTCTTACAATGATATGGATAAAAATTCATGAGTGCAAGCAATTCAGCAATCAGCATTAGGCAGCTTCTAGTTTATCTATCATTGATTTCATTGCAGGACAAACCTAAAGTTAACAGGGAAAATAATCTTACATAGTTCAACGATTTCTTTACACTAGTATAAATTACTACTAAATGCTTGACAATAATTATGATGCTTTTTAAAATAAATGTGTCCATGTGCATTAGAAGTACCTTTCCACTGGTTGTAAGATCAGGTGCGTAGACACTGGCTGCTGCAAAACCACCAATCACATCAACTGCATCAATACCACTAGCTCTTAATATGCTAACGGTAATAACAGATCTGTAACCAGTGCTGCAAAAGGCTAGGTATCTTCTTGACCTTTTAAAAGCAAGTACGATATTAGTTGTATAGTAGTTCAAGTTTAGCTTACTTGTCTAACTCCTCCAAGTGGCTGTATATTTCATTCAATGGGACATTGTGAGATCCTTTAACTGTATTACCCTCATGCTCTTGCTTAGTCCTCACATCAATCACATGATAGCCATTGGACACAAGATCCTGGAGTGACGTACCATGCCCTGGCCTCTATATTAAACAACAAGAATGAAAATTACTCGCTACATAATTATGGGCACAGAAAGCTCATCGTCTTACAATGTCAATCCTTTGTGTAGCATGTACTGGATAGCCTGATTGAATCCAGTCAGTCATGCCATTCTTGAGTATACCTTTTACCTAATGGTAAGTCACATTTCCTCTTAAATTTCTCTTCCTCCTCCATTCCCATTCTTACATTAGTGTATCCAATGCGTGCCAGTCTTTGTAGGGCCTCTCCTTCTTTTCCTGGTTTGGCAATGAGCAAGAGATTTCTATTACTCAAGAGGAGAGTACCAACCTAAAACATGTAAAACATGAAAATTGTAATTAAACAAGCTGCTACATCAGTATGGTTAAACGTACCCATATGGCAAAGTTACCATCCTCAGGTCTGAGAATAGCCCCACCTGATTCACCAAGAGGGAAATTCAATGACCCTTCGATATATCCAGTGTTATACTCTTCAGGCTAATTAGTATTAAAGGAAGAAGCAAGAGGTAAATTGGAAGAAAGAGAAAGCATCTTACATTTCTTGTATCGATTACAGTGTAATCTGCAGTGTTATTATCTACTATCAATTTAAACTGATCGCTGGTAAGTCTTGGTATCTTGCTCAATACTTCAGATAATGGTAGGGCACCAGCCTATCAGTAATACAATACATAGACATTGTAGCAATAGTGTGTATGAGAACAACTAACTGTATTTTGGGCCACATCATGTGAAAAATATCCTGGAGCAGCAGGCTGTCCATCCGTCAAAAACTTAACAAATTTATCCTCCTAAACAAAGATAATACTAACTATTATTCATTATTGTATTGGTATTGCTAACAAGAATGGCAAAGTTTGAACTTATCCTGATCAAAATTGAATTTTTATGAATTTTAAAGTTGCTCGAAAATTAAACTAAAGTCCCTGTACTATAGTACAGGGATTTTGTTGCAAACTTTATCAAAAATGAAAAGAAGAGAATTCTCCATTTTATAAATTTTTTTCCAATACATATACATGCTTTTGTGTCTTATGCTGTAACAGTCTTACATCAGTAAACTTCAGAGCTGGATTAGTTTGCATCTCTTTGCCAATGGTAGAGTACAGATCGGTGCTGAGATTTTTGCCACATGGAGATCCAGCACCATGAGCTGGAAATATCTAATGACAATGAATTATAACAATAATCAAATTATATTCTTATAATTACAATTTTACTCTGCCTCTCTCTTTTTTTTCTCGCTTCCCTCTTCCTCTCTCACCTGAACATCAGATGGTAATGAGCATATCTTGCTCCTGAGGGTTTCAAACATCATTCTTGCCATTTGTTCGGCTGTAAAACCAACCGATCCAACAAGATCAGGTCTGCCACAAGACCCAATGAACAAGGTATCCCCAGTAAATGCCTAACCAAAGAATAATAGTGAAAGATTATTGTAAGTATATCATTTGTTATTGGTTGTGATCATATCTGTGATTATAAGATAAGCCCATATTATCAATACCGACCTTTATTGGTCTGTCATTGTTGGATGTGTCAATCAGGAGATACACAACTGCTTCTGGTGTGTGTCCTGGAGTGTGCAATACTTTAATTGAATATCTTGAAGAGAACTTTATGATCTATTAATAAATGAATATTCAGTTCAAAAGAACCAATAGTACAATATCATAAAGTTGATTTAAGCATATAACATCGATATATATTCAAGAATAATGCATGCAGTCTAGCATTTAGTATTAGGCAAATGAGAATGAACACAAAACATTGTTAGCATTACAAGACATTCTATTCATGCTATTGAGGTAGTTCTAGACAATACAAAATATATGGGACAGGCAGAGCTATCAAATATCAGGTGATTTATGATGCAATCATGCAAAACACCAGTAACTGGTGCTAAAATAATATGCTTTGTGGGACATGTAGGATAGCAGGGTTTCAAAGATGACTCATATTGTGTGACAAAACTGACAATTTTAAATTAGCTAATTTTTACTTCAGGGTTACACATATTAATAACCCATTCAAAAATTATGAAGTATGTCATATAAAGCTCAAAGAAAGACCACTTTCAGTAAAGCTGGCTGTAGGTTTATATGCAGTGTTATTTGTAAAAGCTATTGTGGGTTGCACGATCGTGGTTATCACTTATGTACTCGTATAAACTGTATTACAAGTAGTGTCACTGGTTTTTTGTAGGACTACCTCTTCATCTTTGAGTTCATGATGTGGAAATTGGCAGCGAGGACCAGCAGTTGGGCCAAAATAAATGGGTGCTTGAGTCCTCTGCATTAGCTCATTGTGCCCGGATACAAAATCAGCATGAAAATGAGTCTCAAGTATTCCAATTAGTTTAGCACCTAAAGCATTTAACTCCTGAGGAGCGGGTGAAGATAAGTTACTTAGTCATTCAATTACCACTTCTTACTTGTATGAAAGTATCCACATCTCTTCTGGGATCAACAATAAAAGCTTTCCCTTCATGTGCTATGATGTATGTAGCTTGAGCCAGACATTCCAGGTAATATATTCGGACCTCCAGTCCAGAGTCTTGATCTTTTACAATTTCTTTGAGGCCACTCTATGCAACACAGAGATTTGAGTTTAAATACAGCAGTTTATCTTACTGGTAGAATCTCTAGCTCCTCCATGATTAGAATAGTAGAGCCTGTAGAGTTTAGAGAAGAATCAGAAGGTGAAAGATGGTTGATAAGAGGTGACAAGAGGTGAAAGTGTGTACGTGACCATGTACGTGACCGGCCAGACGTAGACACACCACACACCCAGCTCCTCCCATACTCTTGTCAACACCCACGCAATAAACTAAAATCTTTTAAAACAAAATTTTAGGGCCCGCCCATCAAGCTAGCCATGGCTGAAATTGTGGAGATGGAAGAGCTCGGGAAAGAGCCTGACCCTCAAAAATCCACCACAACAGAATCCACTGCCGCAGAAGAAGTCGTGTCACTTCAGGATAGTAACGATGAGATTTTGGAGAAGACATGGGAAGGATTTCCCGTGTACAGAGAAGTGGAGGAGGAAAGAGGAGGAGGAAAGCTCCAATTTCTGGTGGATCGATTCCTACCTCAGCCTATACGGAACTCACTCAAACCTCCAACCAATAAGAACGAGTGGAAGAGATTTCTTTATGTTCATTTGCCTATAGTTCACTGGGTCATATCTTATACTCCAAAGTATTTGATAGGTGATGTTATTGCTGGACTAACTATTGGAGTAGCTCACATACCAATGGGTAATGACAAATAGTTGGATGTATTATTCTGTTGGTAGAAGTTAAGAATGAGTGCTAATTGTCTCTTCTTTACTATACGTCACCTAAACCTTTATAAGGCATCATAAATCATTTATGATGCCTTATAAAGGTTTTATGATAAATCTAATTATGTTGTCATTATAATAGTACTATCATGTTTTGGCTGTTTAAGATCATTCTAATATCTGTGGACTAAGTTTTTAGATTTTGTTCTATTCGCACAATCAATGCTTGTATTCCACGGATGCTAATCCTTTGTTATTGTTTAGCATCTTATTGTTTACAGTTTGATAAGATTATACATACATCAGTGGGTTTTCTTAAATAAATGATTCCTGTTTGTATGGTAGGCATTGGGTTTTCTCTGTTGGCATTCCTCCCACCTTCATATGGTCTCTACTCTTCATACATTCCTGTTTTATTATATGCAATATTTGGGACATCAAGACATCTCTCAGTCGGTTAGCCATGTACTGAAAATGATTAAAGTGACTAACCCATTGCACAAACAATCCTTTCCTCCTTATCCTGCTCTGTTAGGTACATTTCCTGTGGTAGCGTTGATGACTGGACAAGCTGTTGATACTTTAACTCATTCTTTATGCGAAGGGAACGCTACAATCCTAATGAATGACGAAAGTGATCCATGCTCACTCAATGCCTGTTTTACTGAGAGAATTAATGTAGCAATTACGCTAAGCTTGATGGTTGGAATCTTTCTAGTAAGACATAATTACATGTATATCAATCATAAGTAATTTGTCTCTGTCTTTCTGCTTTTATTACTCTTTCTTTTCTTCTCTTTCCTTCCTTATTTATTAGCTATTGATGAGTCTTTTAAAGTTGGGTGTCATTTCATTGTTTCTCTCTGATGCTCTCATTAGTGGCTATACTGCAGCAGCTGCCTTCACTATTCTAATAACACAGCTTGCGCCATTGCTTGGTGTTAGTGATAGTTCTGTTGTTCCTGGCCTTTTTGTCACTCCTAGAGTAAATTTAAAGATTAATCTTTATTAGCTTATATTTTTCTTTTTATTTAGCGTTTTTTCAAAATTATGGCTAGTCTGTTTAGTTGGAAAGTATCAGTCCCAGCTATCGTCACGTCAATTATCTCGTTAATTATTTTGATTGTTTTTGATCTGATTAATCGTTTTTTAAAGAAGAAAGTTACTAAAATCTCCATATACATTCCCGGCCAACTCATCGTGGTAAGAGTATGTGTACTTGTAATTTGCTTTGGAATGTCTTCTTAAAATGCTTTTTCTGTGTTGCAGCATAAATGTAGTGAAAATGAATCCTAACTTTAATTCTTTCACAGATGAATGATTTTATTTTACGCTTGCTTATACACACACACAAACAAGCACACATTAATGACTTTATATCAGACCTATTGTACGACAGGTAATACTAGCTACTGGCATATCTTATGGAGCTAATATAACTGATCTGCCTACCATTGAAGATGCTGGTGGTATATTGCCTGCTCAATGGTACGACTATTATAATGTTTAGTGATCTTGTGGTTGATTATATTTCTTTAGTTACACTCCCAAGCTTCCAGTTGGCAGACTCATTGGGGATGTCGCTAGTGAAGCTTTCATTATTGCCGTCATTAGTTTTGTCATTAACATTTCTCAAGCTAAACTTATGGCACAGAAAAACTCTTATTCAATCCACCCTGACCAAGTAATGAGTTAATGTTTAATTCAATATTATTCTACTATGATTGAGTTTTTAGGAGTTGTTTGCTTATGGTATTATGAACATTGGTGGATCTTTATTCAGGAGTTTCCCTACAGCTGGTGCTCTGAGCAGAACTGTCCTGCAGGATTTAACCGGAGGGAAAACACAGGTTAGAAACTCCATACTATAATCTTCCCACCTTCATTTATTAACTCAATTCTTTTACTTTATTTTATCATTCTCTTCTTTTTCTAGCTTGTCAGCATTATTGCATCATTCATTGTATTACTGGTCATGTTAGCTATTGGGTTTTTGTTTAATTCATTACCTAATGTGAGTTTAATATCCACTGTTCTCTTCTCTTATGATATAATACTTTTTCTTTCACATGTTCAGGCTGCTGTTGCAGCAATTGTTGTGATGGCACTAAAAGGTTTGTTCTTACAAGTGAGAGATATAAGAAGGTACTACTACATCCACTGGCCTGATATGGTAAGAGATTAGAGCTTATATAACTATTTAGATGCACTAGTTTTTTCTATCTTTCATAACATAAAGACAAATTAATTTACTAAATTTAACATTCATGGTATAATTGTCTTTCTGTAGCTTGTGTGGCTAGTGGTTTTCTTATCTACCCTTATCATTGGATTGGATCTTGGATTAGGAATTGGAATATTCTTCAGTCTTTTTACTATTATTGTCAGAACTATACTGTAAGGCTCTCTTAACACTTTGATTGTTTTATTTATTCTCTTTCAGTCCATACTCTCCTCATTTGGGTGAGGCTAATCAATGGTCCTACCCCATTGACACTGCTGACAATGAATATGATGAAAACGACTTTAAAGTAAGTGCTGATACATGTACTATAGTCCATAGCATTTGTTAACAAAATGTAAGTATTAAAATGACAACTTTTTATCTAATGTAGCAATAGTATGTAGACGTTTAGTATACTATACTGTACATGATTTGTAAATGTACATTCATTTATTATTAGGTTAGGTCTATTCCTGGTTGTTACATATATCAGTTTAATGCTCCAATTTATTTTGCTAATTGCAACGTATTCCGTTCAAGATTATACATAGAGTGTGGTATCAGTACTCAAAGCATAGGGGAAGAGCCAAAGGGATGCTTTGAGCAATGCTATGACAAGGTAACCTGCTGAGTGAGAAGAGAATGCATTGTAAATTTGTATGTATATTTCATTTATTTTTTCTTTCTCCTTTTGCAGTTTAAAACTAATTCAGTGAGTTATTTATTATGTCATATTCACAAGCACAACTTTTCCCCTCAGTCTGATAGTTTTTCTCCCTCACGACTTCAAGAAAAAGAATTTGATAATGTTTGTATTGTCGATTCACCTGATCATGATGCTAAAAGCACTAATGATAGTGATACTAAGTACCAGAAGACTTATGGTATGTTCAGTTATTAAACCATCATGTGACTGTCACGTGACCATTAGATGAGCCATCAGTAGGACGCTACCAGACAGTTATTATCGACTGTGCACCGATTGGGTTTGTTGACTCAATGGGGAAAGCTATGATTGAAAAGGTAGGAGATGAACTGAAGTAAGAGATAGAGAGAAATGACTAAATTATCAAAAACTGTTTTTGATATTCTAGTTTCTTGTGCCTTTCTTGATAGGTCGTATGTGAACTAAACTCTTTTAATATCCAAGTGCTCCTTGCTTCTCCATCTACCCCATTTTGTGAGTCATTGAAGAATTACGGGTTCTTTGACAGGTTCTCATCAAGATGCTTGTTCCCATCAGTAGCTAGTGCTGTGCTGTTTGCTAAGGGAGGACACAGGGTGGTAAGTGCATATCAAATACTGTATTTAGGTGTAAGATACAGGTATTAGCTTTGATGATATTTTTATTGCTGTTTTATGCATCTTTTTTATTGTTTCTTATTCTCTTCCCCACTATCTAACAGCCTAAGATTGATAATGCCAAACCTATCAGCAAGAAGTTGGTTGGTAACTTCGAGCGTATTCTTGAACGATCCAAACGCTTTGGAATTGTTGAAAAGATATTAACTTCGACAACAAGGAATAATGATAAGGTAAGACAGTAAAAATTATATCGGGTAATTATTTTAAGACCATTGTTTAGGAATAATTCTAAACTATAGCGGCAAGAAAGTTTTATTTTTCAAGTTTTTATTATTTTTATTAAAAACTGATTGTCAAGTTTTTAGTTTTATATCCATTCCTTTACATTGATAGAGCACACATGTGCACTAGATATAATTGTAGAACTGATAACCAATTCTCTAAAGTAAAGTATGTATATACATAATGTGCACAATTTTGAAGCACTAAAATTTGTGTTCAAAGCAATAAAAACTCGCCCCTTTAATAGTATTCATAATGGGCGTATTCTGCAATCAATTGTCAACTTGAAGCTAGCTCCTTTTCTGAGTGATGGCTCGCCTTCTTCTTGCTCTTTTCTTGTGTGCAGGTATGTGATCATACTGGTTTTTTTTTTGCTCGTAAATTGTTTTGTTTTTGTTCTTGGTGCATGCTGTGAAATAATTGATATAGATTTATCAAGAGTACATAATGTTCTTGGATTTGTACACTCTTATCAAAATTTTTCAACCTATCTCACTTATTTTTTAGTAGATAACCACTACATTAAATTTTCTAGCAGATTTTGGGAAAACAATTGCAATCAATAGTTGCTCATATTCAGTAGATTCTGCCAAGAACTTATCATCACCTAAAATTAATAGCTCAATATGATAGCTTCAGTTTTAAAAGTTAATTTGTAAATACCACAAATCATGACATTTGCAAGAGTTTTGTGCAAAAAGGGAGACAATACAGAATTAGCATGAGCCAGCTAAGAGAATAGACTGTTGCTGGCAATAGTGATGTAGAGTCAGTATAATCTACTGATATTCATTTAGCAATTAGTCAGCATATGCATGTCAAAAGAGCCCCAACAGGGCATAACCCAATGCTGAATACGTTTGACAGCATACCATAATTCCAAATACAGGTCACATGCTATTTACATGTGCTTATCAATGTGATACTGGAGAGCTGAGGCTAATCAATGGTTCCAGTTCTAATTCTGGGAGGCTTGAGTTCTGCAGGTCTGGTGTCTGGGGAACTGTCTCTGATATTGAGTTTGATACCAATGATGCCAAAGTTGCTTGCAGGAAACTTGGATACAATCCTGATGCTAGTGGTAAGACACACAAAGCATTCTTTATTTACTAATAAATTAATTGCAATGTATATTAGGATTGTCATATGTTGGTGGTGCAGCATATGGTCAGGGCCCAGGACAAGTCAATATGGGCTATCTCTATTGTCAAGGAACAGAGGAGTCATTATTAGACTGCCAGCATGATAATACATGGATTGGTACTGATCATACTCACGATGTTGGCATTACATGCCCTCTAAGTAAGCAGTGGATATTAAAGGCCTTTAGTACTGCTTAGGATTTAAGATAATGTTCATTCTAAAATCTAAATCATTCAAGTTTTGTTGATAACTTACTCACTATGCATGAATTGTAGGTAGTTGTACTCAAGGGTCTTTGAGGCTGACTGGTGGTTTCTTACAGACTGAAGGTACACTAGAGGTATGCAATGGTGGATCATGGAACAGTATCTGTGCTGATCAGTTCCAAAGGCAAGATGGATTTGTAGCTTGCAGGCAGCTAGGCTATCCAGCTACAGGTATAGAATAGAATCTTCTTATAAATTTATTGTAATGATGTTCTTTATTTCTTGCAGCAACTCAAGTTGTAACAGACTTTCGATTCAGTAATGGGCATGGCTCACCAACATGGACACAGTTCCTGTGTGTAGGGAATGAGAGTGCTCTTACAGATTGCCCTTACAGCACTGGAGTGTGTCAAGGATATAACCCCATCAGTGCTAACTTGGCTATTGTGGGACTGAAGTGTGAAGGAGAAGTCATTCCTCCAAGTAATATGATACTATTTCTGGGCTGCAATGACAACTATTGATCATGTAACCTTTCTCTCCTTTCACAGATAATTGTACTGATAATTCTATAAGGCTCAATGGTCCAAATGGGATCAACACTGAGGAAGGACGCATAGAGCTATGCAGTAATGGAGTATGGGGGACTGTTAGCAGCACTAACTTTGGCTTTAAAGATGGAAGAGCAGCATGTCGTCAACTTGAGTATGGGGCACCAGGTAGATTATTTTCAAGTTGTACACGCTCAATTTTTATTGATTTATGTAGGTGTTAGAGTTTACCCTCCATCATACTTTGGGGATGGATCTGGTCCTATACTCATGAATGATTTAGCCTGTCTTGGCTCTGAGTACAATCTCTATCAGTGTAATCGTCAGTTCAATAGCTATGCTCAGAGTCATTCCAATGATGCGACTATTAAATGTTGGAGGAAAGGTAATAATATCAATCTCATGAGAGTAAATAATTGAATTTTTATGATTAATTTTTATTTATTTTTTAGTTGGTGTAACGTGCACTGATTATGATGTGAGGTTCCAGAATGGCTCTACTGATTATGGCAGATTGGAGGTGTGCCTCTTTCAAGAATGGGGAAGCATTTGTGATGATGGCTGGGATCGTAATGATGCCAGGACTATTTGCAGGCAGCAAAATTTTGATCCTTCTTGTAAGCTATCAATATTATTTTATATGTAAAGCATTTTTTAACTGTGGCATGCGTGTATATTATACACTATTCACTTTCTTTTATTTGATAGATGCTTCATTTTATATCAACTCTGCTTATGGTGATGGGAACAATATTCCAGTTAAATTCACTAATATTGATTGTGATGGTTCTGAGTCTAGTATTGTAGACTGTGGAAAGAACGATCAGATTGAACCTAACTGTAACTTTGGTCATACCGTCGGAGTGAGATGCTTCAGTAAGTTTTGCATTAGAAGCATACACATGTACATTAATTATGGATATGCTCAAATAAGAATTTTTCCTTTATTTTTGATATAATTTAGATTCAGATGGTTGCACTAATGGTGATGTGCGTCTGACAGGAGGACAGTCAGACCGTGAAGGAGATGTCCAAGTCTGCAGGGATGGAAAGTGGGGTTATGTGTGTTCTGATACATGGAATGATGTCAATGCTAAGACAGTCTGCAAGCAACTACAGTTATCTGATACTTGTACGTCATCACTTTTAAAATTAAAACTTAGTACATGTAAACACTTTCAGTATTTCTTTTCCGTTAAAACTTTTGGCTTTACTTCAAATATTATTTGTATTTTGTACTATTACAGGGTCAGCATACAGTACCACTGGTTTGTTTGGTGGTAGTCAAGATCAGGCCCCATTAGTGTATGATGGAATGACCTGCTCAGGATCAGAGACTTCACTTACATCATGTACAGTGGCAGACTATGCAACCCTCAATCCAACTTGTACAGCTATTGCTGGAGCCATGTGTGCTGGTTAGTTATTATATTGCTATGCTCCCTGCACATAAAGTCTCTTGTTATATTATTTCAGAGTCTGGCACTACCTGTACTGAATGGGATGTGAGGCTAATGGGCGGATCCTCAAGTGATGGTCGTGTGGAGGTGTGTCGTACCAACACATGGACTACTGTTGATTCTATGGGATGGGATTATAATGATGCTCAAGTTGTTTGTCGTCAGAGAGGATTTTATGATGCATGTAAGAGAATGTGCATGTAGTATTGCTGTTTTCTGGATGTACGTAAAAATCAGACCAATTTTGTCAAAAACAAAAAAGAGGAATTTTTTTATTTCTATAATATTTTCTGATGCATATACATGTACTTATGTTGCACAGAAAGTTTGAACTGATTCCGGTCAAAATTGGATTTTTTATGAATTTTTAAAGTTGCTCAAAAAGTTTGGTGTACTGAAGTACAAGGTACTTTATAAAAAACATCAATTGATCAGGTTATGAAAAATAATTATTCTAAATTACAATGTATTCATCACATTGGCACTTAATCACATTATACAGGGGCAGTTGCATTGACTAATTCACAGTTTGGTTCGGGCAATCGTCGGATCGCTCACAATAACTTCCAATGCAGTGGATCAGAGACTGCACTACAGAGTTGTACTAACTCTGTATATGCAGCTAACACAATGATGGAGAGTTGGTATGCCAACAATAGAGCTGGAGTCTCTTGTAGGATGCAAAATCAAGCTGGTGCGATAATTAGTTTTTATTCACTTTTACTTTATTTTTCATAAATCAGAAACATGCTCAGTAGAGGGCTCTGTGAGACTTCAAGATGGTGCATCCTCAAGAGAAGGAAGGGTTGAAGTGTGTCAGGGAGGATACTGGGGCAGTGTTTGTAATACTGGATGGTCAAGATTGAACTCATTAGTGGCCTGTAGAAGTGCTGGCTTTAAAACACTACGTAAGATTTAAACTATTTCTTTCCTGATTGCTGATTGTTTTATTTATTTTGAAGGACCTATAACAACACAGTCAGCTTATTCTGGGTCAGGACAAGGCCCAGTCAATCTGGCTTATGTTTCCTGTTTGGGAAATGAAGCCAGCCTCTCTGATTGTCCTTATGCCAGTGGTATTGGTGTCACCAATTGCTATCATGGCAATGATGTAGGTGTCAAGTGCCCAGGTAAGCATTACACCCTTTGTAATTAAGCTGTTACTATTATTATTGATAGAAATACCTGCCAGCTACTATAATCTCAGTGTTACTTCCTCTTCCAGTCCTTATGATATTCCCATTGGTACTCAAGTACAATTGTCTTGTGTGTCTGATCCAGCTCCTCCAAGTGGCGTCACTTATGAATGGAAGACAACCATCGGCGAAGATCCTTTGTCACAAAGCAGTCCTTCATCACCCAGTGCCACCTTGACTATAACTCACAGACACCCTAAAGTATCCAACTATTACTGTGCAATGAAGTGGGATGATGAAGTATTGGCCATTGGATCAATCACTCTTTCAGTTCAAAGTAAGTATGCACATTTCTTTTCTTATGATACAATATTGATGTTCTTTATTCAGATACACTTGTCCCAGTCCAGTCTACATACACTGGTAGTGTTGGCGGTTCTGTTACACTCTCAGTTACCCAAACACCTACAATGGGTTTGAGCTACCTTAGAAACCTCCAATGGTATTTCTCTGGTGTACCAGTGCAGTCTGCATTGAGTAGCTACTCATTAAGCCCTGATGGTCTATCCCTTACATTGAATGGCTTGACAGAGCTTCATTCTGGTTATTATTCAGTGAGATATGATGGATTAAACTTATATCAACACTCTTTGCTATGCGAACAAGAAACAATGAACTTCCTTAGGGAGTATCCCTTACTATCACCTGCTGTTTTAAAATTAGTCGTTGGAAGTAAGTAATTCCATTATTATTACTATTATTATTATACTGTTATCTTTTATTTTTCTTATGTTAGATGTTAACATACCAGACAGATCACAAGGTCTTCCTTACTCTGTCTTATATCCAGGTGTTGATTTTACACAATATAATAATGGAACTTCTTATCTATCACTTGTGACATATACCTTCCTCCCCTCCTCATCATCCTTCACTGCATTGCAATGGCACGAGTTTAGTTTTGCCAGTTTTTCATCAGGCAATGCTTCAAAGCTTTATTCAGCAACTGGTTTGCTCTCTCCTTTATCTGATCCACATTATGAGCTTCAGTTCTTACAGCCCACCCTTTTACAGAGTGGCTACTATGAGGCACAGTTAACCACTGAACCACGTCCAGTACTCAACTTTATTGGTTGTAGTGCAGCCAATGGCTACTCTTATGCTGATTTTATCAATACACAACTGGGATTTACCAGTCCAATTGTCATTGGCTCTGCTAAACAATCAATTGGCTATTATGGTAAGTCAATTTAATCATATCTTATATTTATCTTTCTTATAGAAACACCAACTGCTACAGTAAACACGACAGCATCAGCTTTTACTGATGATTCTAATGCTACCTTAACATGCTCAGCAAGCGGTGGTTATCCTTTGTATTATAATGTGTCTATAGTCAAAAATGGAGTGACTGTTGCTAATGCAATAGGATCACCAGACTTGGTGTTCAACACAGAAGAGGGTACTACTGGTAGAAAGTATGGTAGCTACTGGTGTGTAGCTAATAATCTTTATGATAATGGCTATGCATCTATACTACTAAGAGAAACAGGTGTGTATTGAACTTTTTAAAATATTAACTTCATTTACATTTATTTTATGTAGCATCTTTGACACTTTCTTTTGAAGTCAACAATTGCAATATGTGGAATGTAAGCAATCAATACCTAATGCTTTCTACTACATTGAGCCACATTAATGCCTAACTTTTTCTATTACATAAGAGCAAAAGCTCATTTCTGATAGCACAGTGTATGACAATTGATATTTTCTTTTTAGAATGCAACTAGAGATGTATTTGAAGCTCCAATTTTCAATCTTTTACAAGATATCTGTAACTGTACCTTGTCTAGTGGTGTGCTAACAGTTAATGATCTTACATGCAGTACTGATGCTGAAGAGATGACATCAGAGGTTGGAGTCACTTCGAGTCTTTCCTATTCATCAAGTGATGGGAACCAAACATCCTCCACTGTATTTCAGAGCCTATTTGATTCCCTTAACAGTGGGAACAGTATATCAGTGAGTGTTTCCAATCAATCCCTTAGGATAATATGGCCACTCAATACTTCTGATGAGCCCTTTACACTTCCTGATGAAGCACTTTTGACTATCCTCTTTATCTCTGGATTCATTGCTGCTGCATTAATATTCACAATAGTAATTGTCATGTGAGCAAGTTTATAGCATCATTTGAGATTGTATATATATATATATATTTGTTTCTTTAGAGTATGTTTTGTGCAGAGGAAAAGAAGAAAACTAGCAGCTCAGAGGACTGCTCCTCCCGTTGCCTTCCATACTCGTCAGAATGAAGCAAGGATTGAAGATTCACCAGAAGAAGAAAGGCCTTTACCTGCCGCCGACAGTTCAGTCAATCGTGATGCTGATGATGATGATGAGGAAGAGGATTGGGAACTTCCAAAATGAAAAGAATCCATAACAATTATATTTATGACTGATAACTATGTGTAGTGTAGGTATACATTGATTAATGTGTATGTAGTGGAATTTTTACCCCATTTTATAATGTTAGTTCTATCACTACAAAGAACAATAAGAATTTTTATTATTGCTTTGTTGTGTTTAAGTGGTGAAATCTATAGTCTCTGATATACAACTTAATAGCACAGCTGGATTACCAAGCATTAAATAAAAGAGTACACATTATATTTTTTATTTATATCTTCGGAAATGATAGACATGTACTTTTGAAAGAATAAAAAGCCAGTTTTTATGTTAATTGTATCAAATTGTATTTCTTGAGGTGATTGCAACTTGTGGTGTGTCTCATATTTTACAATCCAGAAGTTTTTCTTTTAGTACAATAAACAGTGGTAATGTACTATTGATGTTTTTCTTTAATGTGCTTATCAAAACCCACACAGTTAGAATTTAAGAATACAGTTTTTGTTTATGATCATTCATACTTAATCAGTTGTCTGTTTGTTAATTTCATTTGAAAGCTAAAGAGAGAGCAGCATGAATTCACTTGGAGGGATCCTGCTGATTCTAAACATTTCAGGTATCATAAAGATTTTGAGAAATTATTCATAATCATTGATTTTACAGTTGCATTAGGTCAAGTTAATAGCAATTGCCAGCATGGAACACTGAGGTTAGTGAATGGAGGTGCTACCTACAGAGGAAGACTAGAGATTTGTATCAACTTTGTATGGGGAAGTGTATGTGATGATTCCTTTGATACTAATGATGCAAGAGTAGCCTGTAGGCAGCTTGGATATGAAGTAGATGGAGGACAATGTAATGATCAAAATTAATTTTAATAGATTATGTTTTTTTTTGTTATAGCTGTAAGCTACTATGGTAGTGCTTATTATGGTCAAAGTGCTGGTCCAATATGGCTCAATCGACTGTACTGTACTGGATTTGAGAATAACTTGCTGGACTGCAATAGAGCTGTTGGTATTGGTAATGCTTATAGCTGTGGACACTACGAAGATGTTGGCATATTGTGCCCAGGTATAGACTACATCTGTATAAAGTTATTTACTTATAAATTTGTTATGTTTATTCAGCATGTAGTACTGGATCAGTGCGACTCACTGATGGACTAATACCAACAGAAGGAACTGTTGAAGTGTGCAATGATGGAGCATGGACTAGTGTCTGTGATTATAATTGGGGATATCAAGAAGCATTTGTAGTGTGTAGACAATTAGGTCTACCAGCAACAGGTACAGTGGATTATAATGATCTCATGAGGTTTACATACTACCCACATATAAATAGATGCACAACCTGTTTATTATTCTAATTCTTTTGGATATGGACATGGAATACCAACATTGTACAACTGGAGATGCATTGGGAATGAGTCAAGTTTGAATCATTGCTTAAAGTCTACATCAAGCTGTTACTATAGTTATTATGGTGTACAAGTGTACAGAATATCTGGAGTTAGATGCAAAGGAAGCATTGTACCAGGTATATAGTGTATTTAGGTCTCATTCTATCTTAAACATTAATGCACAGGAAATTGTCTTACTGGTAGTATGCGTCTTGTTGGTCCTAATGGTCCTAATAAAGTGGAAGGGAGAGTAGAGTATTGCAGTAATGGAGTGTGGGGTACTGTTAGTAGCTATGGATTTGATGTTAGAGATGCTCATGTTGTATGCAGAAGACTTGGTCATCAGACACCACGTATGATAGACTATTATCTAATTTAATATTACATTGTTTCAATGATTGCAGGAGCTTTGATATTTTGGAATGCTTACTTTGGTCAAGGATCTGGTCCAGTTCTGTTTCATTATTTGGGATGCACTGGAAATGAAGATAGATTAGAACATTGTACTTACTCATCAGATCCATATTATCTTAGCCACACAAATGATGTTGGTGTGAAATGTTCAGAGAGAGGTTAATTTAATTATACTGCATTTTATGCATTGCTTCCATTACAGTATTAACTGACTGTATTAATGGTAGAGTTAGATTAGTTAATGGTACTACACCAGATGAAGGAAGAGTGGAAGTTTGCATCAATGGAGAATGGGGAACTGCTTGTAGTTCGAACTGGTATGAAAGTGAAACTAAAGTTGTTTGTAAACAACTAGGATACAGCCAAGATGGAGGTATATTTACTATTATAAAAATGATGATTGCAAATTTTGTTTTTAGAGGGATCAATATTTAGATATTCTAAATTTGGTGATGGAGACTATCAACAATTTTTATGGAATATTCAGTGTACTGGATCAGAAACTAACTTGGCATCTTGTAATAATTACCACAGTGATAATTGCTATTATGGACGCACTGTTGGCATCAAGTGTTACAGTAAGGAATCCACTTTATTTAATTATAAAATAACTATTGCACAGATACAAGTAATTGCACTGATGGTGAAATCAAGTTGTATGGGGGACAGTCTAATGCTGAAGGAGATCTACAAATTTGTTATGATGGAGTGTGGGTTTTTGTGTGTGATGGGTGGGGGATTCCACCAAATGTTGTGTGTAGACACCTGGGTTATCAAGATAACTGTAAGTCTATTATATTAAAATTATGTGGCATACCTTTTATTATTAAAGGGGCTTCATACTCATCTTATTCATTGTTTGGTGGAAATAATGATGTTGCTCCAATAATATACATTGAATTCTATTGCAATGGAAATGAGGATTCACTAAAGTATTGCTCCAACTATAATTACAATTATTACTGTGATACAGCATTTGGATTCACATGTTCAAGTAAAGTTAATACAATACTCAATGATAAAACCTATATTACTGCAGGTACAGTAAATTGTAACAATGGAACAATTCACCTAACTGATGGAGAAGGAGATAATGAAGGAAGAGTAGAGATATGTACTGATGGTATATGGATGACAATTGATGCAAGATACTGGAATTATAATAATGCTAAAGTTGTTTGCAGACAATTAGGATATTATGATACTTGTAAGTATAACATTATATCATCTATTGTATGTGATCTATTGTAGGGTCTGTGGCAATTACTGATACTAACTGGAGTGGTAAGAATGAAAGAGTTGGTTATAGATATTCATGTACTGGAACTGAGAATGAATTGAGTAGCTGTTCAAACTACTCACCTTCATCACATGCAAATAATTGGTTTAATCAGAAACGAGGTGGAATAGATTGTCAATACAATAATACTGAAAGTATAGAAATTTATTGTTAATATTCGAAATGTCATGCAATGGAGGTAGGTAT